CGCCGTGTTTGGAAGCTCCTCGATGTCGTGGTCCGAATCTTCATCTGTCAGCTCTCCAATGTCCCAGTCACCGTCCCAACTATCGTCATCAGCATCCTCTTCGTCTTCAGGTTCCTCACGAAGCTCTGGGTCCTCGTCGGAGTTGAGCCCGGTGCATTCGTCAGCTCCTTCGTCCATAAAGTTAGGGTCTGTGTCAATAACACACGCAGGTACACTGTGCACAACGTCGGCTTCGTAAACACTCTCGTCTTCGTCACCTTGCATTCTCTGTTCACCATACATCACGTACGTTGGATATTATGTTAGACATGTTGTCAGCCACAATCCTTCTAGGTTGGATAAACGAACAAAACGCACCGTGTCATCGTCGCCATCGCTGTCTTCTTGTAGGAGAGCGCGGCGATGCTCTCTTGTCGGCACTTGAGTACTACTCTTTCGTTTTTCAGCACTGGAATCAGTAGTAGCTAACGCGATACCAGACTGTTGGGCAGGCAGCGCAGTCTCAACGCTCAAAACCATGTCCGCGACGACTTCTGTCACCTCCGTCTCGTGGTCTGCTTCCACCTCCATCGCATCCGCTATCGCGGTTGTCTCTATCGTCTCCTTCGCTTCAGCAATCGTCTGGTTTCGCGAGCCCTCTTTTTCGCCCGCCGTGTCTGCAACCTGAGCACTTGCTGAAGGAATATACAGACCTTTATACTGCGCCACCTCCATATCTGCCGTTGTGCGCTTGGCAGCCTTCTTCTTTGTCGCCTTCTTCGCCTTCGTCTGCCATGCTCCATCGCTGCCGCTCTTCTGCTCTGTCCGTCGAATGCGGCGCTCGTGACGCTCACTTAGCAGAGCCTCGCGACAGAGGCGCCTTTCTTGCTCGGTGAGGTGGTGACGCGGTGTCTTGGGTGTCGGCGCAACCATGTTGCTATCGGCCGTCGTGTTGAAGAGTGAGGAGGTTGGTGGCTGGTGGCCACTCGCTCGATAGTGGGTGTGTACCTCCCTTTTCTAACTCATTCAACCAAACTAAACCTAAGCCTGTGCATGTGACCGTTTTACACTCATATCAATGACTTCATTTCACTATAGCGGGGAAAGGGGGGATATGGACCGTTGCCCCATACAAAATTCAGGTATAAGATTTGCTTATGTTGGACCTCCAACATAAAATAAAAGGTGCAACAGAAGTGAATTAGGGTATACACCCCATATGTTGGAAGATCCAACATAAAGGAACTAAGGGGTTAAAGTTGCTAATCTCTAGATCTTCTGCGACTTTCTTACCCATTAAGCGTAGCATCGTTGAGCTAATAGGCACTCCATCTTTTCGTAGTAAATTTATTCATTGCATTATAGAAGCTTCGGCGTATAGACAATATGGTAACCATGCCAGACTCTCTAACGTACTTCATGTCTGCCACTGTTGCACTTTTGCAGCGATCAATAAATACAGAGACGTTCTCACGCCTCTGACAGATCGGTTTACGACGCTGCTCCATAGCATCTTCGTTTAGAGAGGGATAAAAGGTTCTTAGAGTGAGCTGGACGTCCTTACAGCCGATGAAGTGCTGCGCGGCCTCTAACTTGTGGCGGTTTGAGATACTGTGGCGGCTGTTTTTGGGTTCTTACGACCCTGGCCTGCGACACGCGGCCTTCTTTGATGCTTCTGCATTCCTTGCTAATCCCGAAATCAGCATCTGATGACCTTTTTATATATTGATTTTAATTTTTATAATAATATTAAGGCGTTGTCAGTTCGCACTGAATCTGTCCGTCAGCACATAAACTACAACGGCTCGATACTTTGAGCCAGATGATTGGCTATTACTATTGTCACTCATGACTGAGCGTCATTTACCACAGAAGGACGTGTGACACATCAACACTTCGGGATACCTGGTATATGGTACCAGGGTCGTCAGAGGCTAACCACTGGCTGATGACATAGCTTTACTATAGGTGACTACAGTCGTGCACCTCGTATTCGGCGGGGTGGACCATATAGAGTCTACGAGCTGCGAATATTTATAGAGGAGCAGATGAAATCCAAATGTACTACTTTGTATTACCTTAATTAAGTACAAATCATAAATCCATCTTCGACACAATACCAGTGTGATTCCAACAGTTTCGTATGGTCATTGTCGATACGTCTTGCCAACCTTCTGAGCACCACTTCATCGCTGTATAAATATTGACGTGGGTATACGTCTCGCCTTTGTAAAACAGAGACAGTGTCCATGATGGCTCTGTGGCTGCCTTCCTGCACAATGTTTGCTTATTGGCGAGATTCAACGTAGAATAGGCGGACGGGCGACGTGCCATGGCCTTTTGCGACAAAATTCATAATGAGCTGTTGTATGGTGACGTGATTGAGCTGATACATCGTGGCGGAAGTGCGGCGTTTCATCCCTCCTTGAGGTTATTTGGTCCGAAGGAGATGGGCAGCTCATTTGCGCAATGCATGTGGCCCAATCATTAGATTGTGCAGGTTATTTAGCCATACCGGGGCCGAAAACGAGGTGCACGACTGTAATAGTTTGTAAATTTAACTCAAGCTTAACCTATCTATAAATACATTTAGTTTACAACTTACCTTCAACTGGTCACTTCGCTCCCTTCGACAAAAAAGGGACCTGTGAACTACTGTTCACTGAGAGTTTGTATACTGTCGGAAGCTGACTTCCTCTAGCTCAACGTGCTGTGCGACCCCGTTACAAAATGGCATTTGCCAGCCTTCATTCCTTCACTAATACCGCTCTGCTTGGTGCGTGCGATGGTTCCATGGCTTCGTCTACTACTGTACTAGCAGCTCCTACAACCTCGCTGCCGTCGCCGCCCGTCCAACACTATGCAGCAGGCCATCATTCTAGATACTGCAGCAGCTAATTTACAAGAACATGAAGATGAAGCTGACGATGATGTAGCTGAAGTAGATGTCTATTTTTTGCGTGGGTAAAAAGGCGAGAAAAAAACGTTCGTTTCTCCGATCGGCATTGCGCTTTCCGCAGCACGACTTCTTCATCAGAAGGACTTTTCATGGATTGTAGCCCGCGTCAATGATGCCACAGGGTGAAGACATTCCTGACACGTACTAACAACAAGCAAGAATCCCAATAAGAGACTAAGCTTGAAACATAAGGATTGTGAGCTGGACTTTATTGATCTCCTTCCCTTGAATTCTTCCGCTCCCAATTTCCCAATTGACTCTTCAAATCTAGTTTTTCGCGGTTGTACCGTATTTGAGATCTCCCACTTCAGAGTGATCTCCTAACTCAGACTGCCCTCCAACCCAATCACATATCGAGAATGGAACAGCGCACAAGTCTAGATCTCCTAATTCAGAGTACAAAAAACATGCTAAACTGTAACTATCCACCAGCTCATTGCCAGAAATTTGCAATGGGTCGCACTCCCCTCACGCTCGGCCAACGGAAAGGGAGAACCCGTATTTTTGGCACTGGCAAGCCTCCCAAGAAGTTCAAGCGCGTTGCCATTTCATACGCCTACAAGCTTTCGGTTGTGTAGTGAACCTGATTGGGAGCTGCTACGACGGTTGCTGGAAGAAGTGCCCGTAGTGCGCCATGCTGTGGATACGCGTCACGACATAGAAAACTTCGTAGTTCCCGAAGAAGAACTTGATAACTAAATTGTATTGTTTAAATAATACGTGATAGAGATGCGTCGGTACGTGTACAGATCTTGTGCATTTTGCAACAATACAACTTCAAAAATATTGGGTCTGAAGTAGGAGATCTCAAATACGGTAATCGCAGTGGGCGTAGAGATTAAGGACACCGCTCCTCTTTGAAAGCTGGGGGAAGGTTCTGCAGCACGAGCGCATTGCCACATTCAGAACAAGCTCTGGATCTAGCGGGAACACTAGGCTCGCTTTCTTCTGAATCCACCGCTTTAGAAGACCAACACAAACCTCAATTGGGTTAAATTGAGGTGAGTAAGGGACGGGGGGGGGGGGTAGAGCAACCTGGCTCCTGCTAGGTATATAACCTAAATACAAGATGAAAAAAAAATTGCAGAATATATTCCAGATAGCAAACTTACCGCTTTCAATTTTCAATACAAGTGAAGTTTTGGGCTGTCCAGGACAACTATTGATCGTGGCAGTGACCACGGATTCAATGTCGTAGAGTTTTTCTACAAATGCTTTGTGTAAAGAGTCCCGAGTGAAGGTTCCCTCAGTGTATTCCCAAGCAGCAAAATCGCTATGATCTAGCGCTCCACTCCCACCCTACCAATGCCTTCGTGTTCTTTTTCGACCAGGTATACCGCCGATACGCTTGTCTTCCATCTTTTTACATTTCGTCGATGAAAAGTAGTTGTTCCGGGTACGAATAAATAGCCTCTAGATTCACCGTATACGCATGCACTTCGTGTGGCACCAACTTTCTCCCCGTACTTTCCTAGACAGGTTCATATCAAAATGTAGAGCTCTATAAATTGTGCTCAACGAGGTATTTTTTTTCTCTGGAAAAGTGCGTTTCAGAAACTCTTGTAGCTCCTCTAAAACAAATATTGAGTGCTCCTTAACATACTTGAGTACACGCTCCACTACGCTACAAGGCCACTGTGACGAGCGCGTAGTTTTGCCATTGTCTCTACGACTCCATCAGACAAGAACAGTACATACAAACGTTGAAGCGCTCTCACGCTAGGTCCAAATATATCACTCACATACTGCATACAAATACCGTACACATGAATAAGAAAGACGGCGCGTCGTGAGAGTACATACTGCACTTGCGCGAATTTAGGACTGAATGACAGAACGAATTTCTCTGGTCCAGTGAAATAGAAAAATAATGTGTCCGGTTTAAAGTGCCTATTGACAATTAACAATTTGGAAATGGGCGTTTAGCGTAGAACAGGCATCGCTCGTATAATCTATTACTTCACCACGCAAAAAGCGCTGCTTTAAATATCTGGGAGCCCACTGGTCGATTTGCATTTTTACTCCATAGATCGATCTCGCATTTAAGTAAATCGAGCGCAAGCACAATATTTCGAAGTACAGAACAGATTTCGGTCACAAAATTAGCGTGAAACCAGGATGCCGCGCTACTACTGCGACTATTGCGACACCTATCTCACGCATGATTCGGTACGTAGCTCGCTTCACAGAATGGAGCTACATCACTTACAGCTCTGACCTAACTCACCGGCGTCTCCTTTGTCTTCTGGTGCCTTATTTACCGTAGCAAGCTGGCCGTAAGCAACACAATCGCGGCTGGAAGCACCGCGAGAATGTCAAACTCTACTACGAGCAGTTCCTGGCCGGACAGGGCGTCATAATGAACCGTGTGTTGCGCGTCAGTGATCCTCATTTTTTGACACCATTTGCCAACCAACCGTTTGTTGCGTTACTGCAGCTGGAGAGTGGCTAAGAGGACCAGCACCGATGGGATCGCTGCCGCCTCGACCCAATGGACCCATGAACGGTGGGATGCCTGGTGGATATCCACCTCGTGGTGTCCCCCCTCGAGGTATGATGCCTCCCCCTGGACCTGTCATGCGTCCGCCAATGTTTCGAGGTGAGTAGCCCTGTCGGCGGAGATTGGTTGCCACGAGAGCGACTGATTGACGTGCTTTTCGGTGTTTGTTGCTTCAGGACCCCCGCGTGGACCTCCGCCGATGGGAGCGATGGGTATGAGGGGACCGCCAGGCCCTGGGGCAATGGGCGGTCCCCCGCCCCGTTCAATCTACGGACCGTAATAGAGCTGTCACTGGCCGATAGTTCAAAACAAGGAAGAGGAAACTCGGTATCAAGTCTGCAATTCAACCGCATTGACAGGTGTGACGTTCCAGATTAACATTGAACCGCAGTTGGGGCGTAGGACCCCAGCTTGGAGGTGTATGGCGCGTCAAACATTCGTACTGCAAGAGTTGAGAGCGGGGCAACCGACGAGTAAACGAAAATATGAACTGCTGCTGGCAATGAAGGTATTGAGGTATATAGGTGCGTGCTTCGTTCTCTCTTGTTGGAGTCTGAGTCTCTAGTGTCGAAAGAAGATAAACGTCGAGCTGTGGCAGAAATGGTGCTTCTGGTTGCGCTACTGCAGCTGCTGCTTGGCTATGAGTGCGTTGTCAGCTCATGATGACGAGGTCGCACTTGTGCTGCTGGAATCCTTCTTGATGAACATGTTGTAGACCACAGCCAAGATCCCAAGCAGCAGGATAAGACAGATCATGTCCATCATGCACTTGTCTGGGCCACGACCGACTTTTGTGAGGGTTTCTTTCATCTTTTTGTTGACGCTTTCCACTACATGCGCAGCCAAGTGTGATCAGTACAACAACACGCTAGATGCACAGCGATGGGAGCCTCTCACCGTGTGCTTGAGTGTTATCGATTCGCTCTCCCAGACCATCGATCATGATGGCCTGCTGCTGCAGTTCTTCGTTCAACATCCGAGCCTGCTGGCCTAGTTCCTGAACCCCCGTTCCAATCTGCTCAATAATATTATCCTGCAGCCAGACCAAGAGCGAGACTTTAGATACAAGCAACTGGCATTAATACATACTAGCGAGCTACGTACAAAGCGCTGATCATTGCGTTGAATGTCTGCGAGGATGGCACGCTGGTCATCAGTGACCACTTCTCGCTCGATTGGGCCGTCACCTCCTCCTCCAGCACCGCCGGCACCACCCAAACCGCCGAAAACTGGTCCACCAGGCCTTGTCCGTGCAGTGAAGGCGCCATTCTCAAATGATCCGATAGGCGCTGCAACGCCGCCAGTATCGAACGCTGGTCGACCTGCTGGGGAGCGGTAGTTCGCTGCTGCAAGCTCTTTGATGCGCTCGTATTCTGCCCAGTATTGCGTCACAATCTCCTTCCGCATGGCTAATTCCTCTGGTGAAAATTTGCTCTGTGACCACAAATTCATAGTGTGGGAGATAGCAGCTACTATCGCAAAGTATGTAAAGAAGTAGCCACCTTTTTCTTTTTCACTTCGAGGTCGTAGCTGGCTGTGAGGTCCTTGATGTCGACACCGACGAGCCGAATCTCCTCTCGAATCTCCTGCTGTCGTCGGATAGCTTCGCGGGGATGTTTCCCTCTCTTGGTAGCCGCTGCGTCATTATCTTGCAGGGTCTGCCACACGTCAACCAATACTGCTTCATCAGCATATCTTCGCATCAACACAGTCCGTGCTAGCTAGCACTCTCCCTACCGTCTTGAGATGGTGCAGTCGCTCTCCGATCTTTGTCTTGAGGTCGTGGAATTGATCGCCTTTCTTGTCCTTCTTCTTGCTCTTGCCATCGTCTCCACCCATTTCCTGGTTGATACTTGACAGTTTGTCCAGCAGCCCATCGAGCTCGCGGTTCATTGTGACAGCAGCACTCTAAACAACACTGTAGCCATCTTCAATCAGTCTCACTTCAACTTCAGCAGCCAATCCGCGACGACGTAGCCAAAATGCAACATACCAATGTCGATTACCTCTGCACTTGATCAGCCACGACCCGCTCCTCTTCTGTACTTGCTCCTTTGCACTCCCAAGTGGTTGCCAGCTGCACCTTCCGGCGAGTAAATCGAGCACCGACGTCATGCTACCGAAACCGCTCAACGTGTATCCGTTTAAGTACGATTCAGAGCCAGAACTGTACCCATGTTGATTGGTGACGTAGTAGCTGGTCAAATGGAGACGGCCGCCGACGCCGCTGAGAAGACCCAGGCATTCGCTCACCGCCTCGTGGAGTTCGCGGACTATGAGAAATGCGTCAAGTACTTTACCGAGCGACAGATCGACTTCGATCGCGCCAACGTCGTGGGCTGGAGCGTCCTCATGAGCGTCTGTGCCTCTGGTAGGGGGTCCATACATGTTCATGGCTGTATTTGAAGTCGTTATTAACAATTTCGATTTTGTTTTGGATTGCACGATGCACTTGTAGGCCGCGACGATCTCGTAGGGTTCGTTGCAGACCGAACTACTGCAGTTGACTGCGCTACGAACACCAACCGGACGACGGTGCTGCACCTCACTGCCATGTCTAAAAACGTACGCCTTTGGGGCCATGCAATGTACTAGCTCGACTGATATTGCTCGATTTACAGACTCGTGTGATGGAGGAGCTGGTTGCAACTGCTGAACGAAAAGAGAAGTTGCAGAGAATCATTGATCAGCCGAATGCCCATGACGACACAGGTGCGCACTGGCGACGACTTGAATAAGTTGCGGGTAGCCTGGATCTAATATAAATTATTCTGTGCGTGGGCTACTTCTATTGTAGCACTGATGATGGCTTGCGTGGCCAAGAATGTGACGGCGGTGCGGATTCTTCTTGATCTGGGTGCAAGAATGGACGTAGTCAATGCAAGTGGACTGAACGCTCTCATGTGTGCTGCTCGTGTTGGTGAAGACCCACGTCCTGGCGCTCCTAGTATTGAGGAAATGATGGAGCGAAGTGCTGTAATTGTAAAGATTCTGCTTGCCAACGGAGCTGGTGTGAATGTTACGGAGAAGGCCGGAGACAACACGGCGCTGCATCTGGCAGTTCTCAGCGAGAATTCTGCTGCAGTAAAATCTCTGCTCAAGAATGCACCGAACCTGGACATAACCTTGCGAAACAAAGCTGAAAAGACGGCGCTGGACTTGTGTAAGCAAATGTCAGGGGTGGCGTCGGCGCAGATGGAAGATCTTTTGCAGGAGAAATGGACTCAGTCTGAGAAAGAGGCCGCTGAAATGAGCGCTCAAATGGAGCAAGAGTTGCTGAATCTGGCAGTGAAGGAGATTGAGGACGCATCGAACCGGAAGCAGATGGCTTCAGCTTCTAAAACTGGCAAGAAAAAGAACAAAAAGACCAAGAAGAAAGCAAAGTCTTCAGAGAAAATATCCAAGCGAACGCCCATAAAGTCTGCGACGACCGATGGCTGGCTGGATGATGAGAATACTAATGATGACGTAGCATTTGGCAGCACATCAGGAAATCTGAAGGCGTCACAGGACATTGTTTTCCCTCGTACGGACCGGTTAGCACCAAACAACTCTGATGATGACCTTCACGATGACGACGGCGACTGGTACAGTGTTGACTCGAAGAAAGCCCGCAAGTTTTCTGTACCCAAGCGAAGCACCAAAAAGCCTCAACGCAGGTCTCCTACTAGCAAGAACACAAGGAATGCGCAAAAGTCTTCCCTACTCGAGCCTACCCAACGAGAGGAGGCACATTCGAAGCCATCAAAAGCAGCTCCACTCATTCCAGAGCGCAGTTCTCCATGGGGAACGCAGCAGTCGACGAAGCCGACAGTAATGGATTCTCCACGGAGCCAGGTGACGTCAGAAGATGATGATGATGAGTCTACCACGTCGGCTATTCCCTACGGTGCGCTGAATGGGAGCTTCCATCGCACTTTCCCCGTAGCAGCCGAGTTAGAGATTGATGTGGACAAGTTCCTCATCGCTTCATCAGCGAGCGACCGTGAGCTTGAGCCCAATGGCAGTTTGAGTATCTCTCAGGTTGAAGCGCTACAAGAGGCACACTGGCAGGCGTATCATTACCTCAACGAGAAGAAGGTAAGGTACACCGTAGCCACAACTCGGTAGAGCTGTCGTTGGAATCCACCTAATTAACAATCCTTGTCTCTGTGACTATGCAGATTGAATTGACAAGAGTGCTCGAAGCCCAGCGTGTCGAAGCCCAGTTCGCCTTGCAGCAGGAGCTGATGCAAATGAAGTAAGAAGACGATATATGTTGACAGGAAGGATGGGGTTAGCCAAGCTCCAACGTCTTGCTGAACTCGGCCTCTGTAAACGAAAGCATCTTTGCTGCCTGTAAACAACCAGACGTGTGAGTGTGTCAAGTTGCCATCCATTCTTTACAGACTTGTTGACCGCCGTACCTCCATATGAACTCGCTGGCGCTTGAGCAGATCGATCAGCTTCATCTGCTTCTTGAAGGCGGCTAAAAGTTCCCCCTAGATGGACAAGACCAACGTTATGCCGTGTCTGACGTGTGCAGGAGTACCAAAGGGAGGCATGCTTTAACCTTCTGCTTGTCGAGCTTTTTGTTGTCGCGTACAATTTGATCGTAGTCTGCCTTGGTGACCATTTGCTCGCCTTGGTTCTTCTTCTCGTCCTGCAGTTGCGTTTTCACCTTTTCGAGTTCCTCCAGAGCTCGATTAAGACGGACCTATTTTCCATACGTGTCAACTCATTTTGATGAACAACAGATCAACTCAGCTTTAGATTTGTACGCACATCCTTCGAGCGAAATTGCTGCGATGCAAGCTTCTCAGCGCGCTGAGTCTCTTCAACACGCGCTTGAGTCGATGCTAGCTGACCTTCGAGAATTCGTTGTTTCTCCGCCTGGGCCACACAGAGTTCGCGTTGTTTCTCTAAAAGCTGCTGCGTCTGCTGGTTCTTCTTGGTCAGTACGGTATTCTCTGCTTTGAGATTCTCAATCTCGACTTTTAACGCAGCCTGTGCCGTTTGCTATCAATGTAAAATTTGAGGTTAGAGAACAGAGCGAGATCGTTCTAGAGCGAATCAAGATACACACCAACTCCTCAGCTCTGGCTATAGCTGTGTCTGCTTCGTCTTGCAATACACGCAGACGTGCTTTCTGGTACCGCACCGTTGCTTCAGGGCCTAGACCTTCTGGGCCATTCTCTCGAACGGGGTCTACATTGACCGGGATATCACCCACACTGCCACTTTTCTTCTTACTCTGAGATGCTTCTTCGGGGGAAGCTTTACTCTTATCTGGGCGCTTCTTTTGTTGCGATCGCTTCGCTGAATTTTTTCTTGAACCCGTCGGCACCTTCTCTTTGCTCTCACTTTTGGCGAGTCGACGGCGCGCCTCTTTCAGGTCTTGGGAGCCCAAAGAATCGATTGATGCGCTCAATTCAATCTCCAAACCTGTTTTCGATTCGCTTTGCTGATTTAAATCTTCGTCATACTCAGTTTTACGGATGGGTGGTCGAGCTAGAGGCGAAGCGGATCGAGTCCCACATAGCGAACTTATCGATGACGAAGATGCTGGTCCGCTCCCGGATGTCAGTTGCTGCCTGCGCTGTTCGATGGCCTCCACCTGATGGTTTACCTCTTGATTCTGGCGCTGTAATGCTTCCCGTCGGGCGACGAGAGTTTCATTCATTGATCGTCGGGTTATCTGTCGCTGCGACTAGTCACTTCGATCGGGCCACAAATGAAAACAGCCGCCGTCATAATGCTGTAGAATATTCTCAGTGAGATGAAATCATCAAGATTGTCGCTGTTTTAAAGGAAATATTATGCAATTTGCATTCGTAGGAAATGTTGCCTCTCATCTATCCGCAATCCAAATATTTGCCCACTGGAATAAGGTTGCTCCTGATAAATATTTAGGAGAAGCTACTCTACGCTGTGTCGGGTGCTCAGATATTCCAGAGCAACCTCAACATCAACAAATTTTGCAGTAAACACCTCAAGTTTAGTTTTAGCCAGTTAGGACCTGTTTAAAAATACGCTATGAAAGGAAACGGCACAAAGAAGACGAGTTCTACCCTCCATCTACCCCCCCCCTGGATTCTAGTGGTAAGCTCGCTGGAAAAGATATGATCATAATAATCGCATTATTGCTAATGTGCTCGGTATGTGCCTTGTTACATGTAGGCCTACTCATTGTTTCTACATGTGTCTGCTTAATCTTCCAGAGCGACATGGTCGTACCGAGATCACACTGCATGATATTTTCAATCTGCAGAGGACGCTGGCCTCTTAATGAAAGACGTTGCGCTTAACGACAGGAACTCGATCTCTCTAGAGTCGTACACTGGATCCTCCAAATTCGGAAATGCACAGGTCAAGATTGCCCATGGTTTGTAAAATTGGGATTGCGGCGAGACCAAAACAAAAAATATCGAAACTCAGCTCAATTCCATCAGGGTCCTGCTTCGTTAGTGGAATGCATTTACAGCATCATGATATATGTGATGCTGTACCCGTTCTGTCTGTAAGTCAAGCTTGAGGTCTAAGTGGTTATCAGTCTGCTATTGTTCCTGGACGCGAAACCTCTCGACTTCGAGTAGTCGAGTGTGTGAAAGTCATCAACCACGTCGATTTAAGCGATCAGATGGCTACCGTCTATCGTGTCATTTCAGCAGAAATATTGGCTCGTATATCGCCAGCAGAAAAACAAGCTGGATATGACACCCTAGTCGCGTTTTTGAAAAGGTTTGCAGTTTTGAATCCTGGATCGCGAGTTTGCTGCCAAAAGGACAATAAGGATCGATTTTATCGAGGGTTTATTGCGATCAGTACTGTCATTTCTCGAATAAACAATTTGCTGCCTGTGTATGAGATCGATGGAACTCACATGAAGCACCCTCATATAATGGAGTTTGTCTGACTTTGATTGGCAAGGATGGAAACAAAGGAAATGTGCTCGTTGCAGCAGGCTTTGTAACAAAGGAAACGAAGTGGAATCTCGCCTGGTTTTTATCCATATGTATTGCAGCAGGGGTGAATTTGGCCGACGTTTCGCTGTTCACAGACCGTGGCTTTCAGCTAGAAGCGCAAATGTTACTTTTCCAACCTGGCTTTCAGATACATCTAAAGTTCGGTGCGCTCCACATCGTATTTAATGCCTGCCATCGCTTTAAGATCATTGACCCTGACATTAACCATTTGTTTTTAAGTTACAAGCTTGTAATTCCCGCCGTGGGTACGAGCCAGTACTCAGTGAGATTCGAAAAGAATTTCCTGTTCCCCTTCACGCTCGCACCACTAAAGAGGAATATATAGACGACTACCTGCGCAAGATCCATCCCATAAGCTGGTCTCGATTCGGTAACTTTAGTCATGATGAAGACGACATTGCTAATATTAAAAACATTGGAGCCAAATCCCTGCATATGGATCTCCAAAGCCATTGATATTTTTCAAATTTCTGAGTTAGAATTAAAATATTATGTTAGCTTTTAAAACCTGACCTACTTTTGATATTTAATATCGAAAGGAATACTATTACTATCAAGTTATCATATGATATTTGGTTCCCATTAGCTCCTGATTACACGCCACTGGTCACCTGCAGGAAAAAGGATATTATTCAGGAGTAACCTCAACATCAACAAATTTTGCACTAAACACCTCAAGTTTAGTTTTAGCCAATAGGTAATCACCTAAGCAAAGTCGTTTTTTTAAGTCAGGCCATAGTCAACGCGTCGCGTTTTTAAGTCAGGCCATAGTCAGCGCGTCGCCAAGCTCCGCGTGCACTGGACCGCACCAAGATACTAGAAGACACTTTATGATATATTTCTCTCTTAAGTACGTTTATTGCTACCTTACCCTCTGTGAAGCACCACGAGTATTTGCTCAAGTATTCCACTGTGACACAGACAAAACCGATCGAGACGGAAAACAGCAAACGGTTGCCATTGTTTGAAGTCGATAGAGCGAAATCAAGATATGTGTTCTTGTTATCTGCCGATAGCCTCGTCCAGATCGTGCGTCTCTTAATTCTGCAGCCTGTGACGCTAGATAGTACGCTCAGTAGTACCAACACACCACACCAACCTTGCTGTCACTCTCACAATTGTACCGGACTTCATTTCCCTTACAATACTTCAGCTTGTCGAACCTTAATGACGTATGATTGGTGGATTAATACCGATTACGCAATATTTGGAAGATTTAATATCGTATTAACTTATTTTAAATTGATATTATTAATATTATTTTGTCTAAAAAGAAAATATTAGGTAAAATGTTACCTAATATTTTCTTTTTAGACAAAATATTAACTGGTCTACCAGGTGATATTGTCACTATATTAACTTCATCGATTAAGGAGTCACCATTAAACCTGCGTGTAATTCTCCAAAATCGGTCAAGTAAGAGAGCAACAAAGCCGCCCTTCCTTCTACTACCTGTACAAGCACGGCTAAGCCCCACTCCAAGCAGTGTTGGTTGGTCGTTGATTTCTGGTTCTGGGTTGGTTTTCAAGAGCTATGACTTAACCTGGTGAGAAAACCAGTGCGACCAGATGGGCCAGGTTCTTGGCTGGGTTGTGAGTTGACCGAGTCTTTGCTTTTCTGAAAAGTGAAAAAGGTGCACTTCGACATGCTTGCAAAATCGTATATTATTGTAGTACTGAGCACTTTGGTGACTGGAGGAAGCGCGGCACGTTTTGCATCGAAAGCTCCACTTCATTTTCAGTTTAGAAACCCCCAACTCAAGTCGCCCAATATATCGTCGCCGAAGACTGAAGGGCATCAGCGGTGCAGCGGTCTGAAGTCGCTGTTACTAAGTCTATATACTGTAAGTTGGCACTGTCACCAACCTTGCAAGAAAAATTGGCTATCATGAGTGCGAAGAGCGCAAACACTTCACAAATCTGTGCATCCGCTGTGGCTCTACTCGGATGTATCATATCTGTAGCCATTGCATTCAAGCTTACAAGGATTCGGAGCTTCCTGACAAAACGAATGCACTTCCATCACCGAAACACATCAAATGCCGAGCCGAGAACTTTAGAAGTCATTTAAAGCGCTGCGAGTACTTCAAAGTCTACGTCAAGACACACAGTACTCCGAACGCTTCATCCAGCGCAGCAGCCTCGACAACTTCTCTAGCCACTTCTGCCCATTTGCACCCTCTGATGTCGCCAGTCCGATTCGCCGAGTCGGTGCAAAGCGACAAAAGTTGTTTGATGAATTTTACGTTGGCATTTCAAAAGAAGACGAAAATAAACTTTTGGAGAGGCTTCTGCTAGAATTTCAAGCAGTTAATAACTTGCCCGACAGCTTTATCGCGCGCAAGTCAGTTAGCCGTTTATTACGCCAAGCTTCTAAGGTGGATTTTGATATTCATCCACTCCCAAAGCGAAAGACCCTGGGTGGTGCCATCTTGGATCTCTATGCAATAATATGTGAGAATGACGAGAGCTCCTCGCTTCGTGAGTGTCAAGAAAATACTGGAGGGCGTGTAAATTTCTTATCTGATGTGTGGCTAAACATCGCTCGGGCCCATCTATTAGGTTGTCAGCTAGCCTTGTTCGGCTTCATTCTGTCGTATAGTCTTTTTGCTACTGGGTCTCGCCATGACGGCTTGGCCATCGCTGAGCAGATGGAGAACGTGATGACCAAGATTCAAGATGAAGGTTGGAAAATAGGCGCTGTCGCTACCGACAACGCTGGGAAATGCAGACGTGCCCAGCGAATCTTAAGCCTCCGCTGGCCCGAGGTTGTGTTTGCTATCTGTTTCGCACATGAGCTTAATAATTGGTGAAAGCAGTACCCAAGTCTAATTTCGCGGAGGTCCCGAAGCAAGCGACGGATGCTATGAACGCTTTAAACGCGTCATCGGCAAAATGGTTGGTTGAAGCGCAAGAATATATGGCATCAACGTATGAATACAGTCTCAGTTTGAAGCAGCTTTGTGAGACTAGATGAATTAGTATGCACGGGTGCTTTGCGTCATTGCTGCGCATTCGCAGTGCCCTCGAGCTTCTGGAGCTGAAGTATCGAGGCACTGGCGATTTCCCCGCTGCTCTTCGCATCTTTGCATGTCGTTCATTCTGGAAGTCCCTTACCGTCTTACCCCGCACAGAGCGCCCAGGCTTACTAATAAAATATAGCGCCCAGTGAGCGCTTTATTCGTTTTGAGTGCCTACCGTCTTACCCCGCATATAAGGCATATGTGCTGTAAATGAATACAACACTGCTGGTGTGTTATATTCGTTTAGAAAGCCTATGTGTTGTACAACGAACAAATTGTTTGATTTTGAAGAAGCAAGTTTGTGGGTCCTGGAATCTGGCTTGGTCGTTGAGGTTTGACCCTCCTACGCGATCGGGTAGGGCTCAAACCCGCCTGCGTGCAGTTCACATGATGTTGTGATTGGTAGCGGGTCTTTTCTTTCTGTTCTGGCTGCGTTGTATACGGAGATTTTGCTTGTTAATATTATGAATTCTACTATTGTTTTTTTATAAGAATCGTTTGCACAAATGCATTACATGTAATCACGTGTATTATATTATGTATCCACCTACTTTCACTGCGAAATATGATCCGGAGCAAACCAAGCACAGCGTTTTCAGAGGATTTTCAACCGTTTACGAGAATTTGGACACCAGCTTGTTGTCCTTTTCAGCAGTACGTACCTATAGCTACGTCGCTCAGCACTCATGGCTGTGTAAATTATAAAATAAGAGAGC